AATCTTGTAAAAAGTTTTTTTTAAGTCAAATTATGTACAAGTGAGAGAAATCAAAGAAAACAGGGATTGTAAATAAGGTGATACTGCCCAACAACAAATAGTAAATGGCGCTAGAACACAGGAGATGAAAGACGTAAGGACAGGAGTGTTTCCAAGTGTGGCTGAATACAGCCCACAGTGTTAACAACTGACTGACACATTTACTGTGAGAAAGCAACTCACTGCACCATGATCTGAAGTCAAACGAAAGTACAAAGGTAAACACTGGTCTTGGAGGTATTCACTCTATGCCTTTATTCTGACAGAATTTTTTTTTCCAGTTTCTGGCTTTTGATACATGCAACGGGAAAAACTAGAAATCTGATTTGTTTGGTTTTTCCCTAAGGAGTCTGCTCTTACCCTAAGAACTACAACAGACTTCTTGTCAGAAACCGTGCAAGCCAAAAGACAATGGATTAACATCTTTCAAGTTCTGGGAGAAAAAATCTGACAATCAAAAATTCTATACCTAGTTAAAAGAGCCTTAAAATGAAAGACAGGAGAAGTCAAACTTTCTCAGACAGAAAAATTGAGGAATCCAATGCCAGCAAACCCACCCTGCCATAAATGTTAAAGGAAGTTCTCTAGGCAGAAAGGATATGATAAAGGGCAAAAGAGCATCTTAAATAAAAGAAGGTAAACTAAAATCTTTTTTATTATTTTTATTTGCTTTAAAAAATAACTATTAAAAGCAAATATAGTACGAATGAAATATGTGTTTATAGCACATGTAAAATAAAATATATGACAACAATGGTAAAAGAGATGAGGGGGAAGAATTTAAAATATGCTGTTATAAAATCCTTATATTACTTGTGAAATAGTGTATTATTTGAAGACAAACTCAGAGTATTTAAAATGTATATTATAACTAGGCAATGATTTAAAATGTGTATTTTTAAAATTTGAGATATAATTGATATAAAGCATTATATTAGTTTCAGGTGTACAACATAATGATATTTGCATCTATTACAAAATGACCAGCACAATAAGTCTAGTTAACAGTCATCATCACACAGTTACAAATTTTTTTCTTGTGATGAGAACATTTAAGAACATTTACTCTCTTGGCAGCTTTCAATATACAATACAGTATTATTAACTATAGTCACCATGCTGTACATTACAGCCCCATGACTTATTTTTTTATGCCTGGAAGTTTGTACCCTTTAACCCCCTTCATCCATTTCATTCCCCCCTCATGTCCCAGCCCACTGCCTCTGGCAACCACCAATCTGTTCTCTGTATCTATGAGCTTGCTTCTGTTTTTGTTTTAGATTCCACATATAAGTGAGAGCACATGGTATTTGTCTTTCTGTCTGAATTATTTCACTTAGCATAATGCTCTCGAGGTCCATCTGTGTTGTCACAAATGGCAAGGTTGTATAGATATATTTTCTTTATCCATTTAAAATGTATTTTTTAAAGAAGTAAACAGAAAGTCACAGAGGAGATAATATTGAATCATAAAAAAACTCAAACCCAGATAAACTGTAAAGGAGATAAAAAGGACAAAGAACAAATGGAACAAATAAAAATACCTAGTAAAATGGTAAATTTTAATGCAATCACATCAATAATCATTTAAAATATGAATGGTCTAAACATATCAGTTAAAAGACTGAAATGGAACAAAAAAGTGCCTCAACTATGTGCTATCTATATAAACCCACTATAAAGTCATACATAGGTTAAAAGTAAAAGGATGTTGAAAGATATACCAACACTAACCAAAAGAAAGCTAGAGTAACTATACTAATTTTAAAGTAAACTTCAGAACAAGGAAGACTGTCAGGGCTAAAGAAATATTACATAGTGGCTGCACCAAACTGCATTCCCACCAGCAGTGTAGGAGGGTTCCCTTTTCTCCACAGTCTCTCCAGCATTTGTCATTTGTGGACTTTTGAATGATGGTGCAGCCACTGTTAAAAACAGTATGGAGATTCCTCAAAAGACTAGGAATAGACTTACCATATGACCTAGTAATCCTGCTCCTGGGCATATATCCGGAAGGAACCCTACTTCAAAAAGACACCTGCACCCCAATGTTCATAGCAGCACTATTTACAATAGCCAAGACAAGGAAACAGCCTAAATGTTCATCAACAGATGAGTGGATAAAGAAGTTGTGGTATATTTATACAATGGAACACTATTCAGCCATAAAAAATGACAACACAACACTATTTGCAGCAACACGGATGTCCCTGGAAAATGTCATTCTAAGTGAAGTAAGCCAGAAAGAGAAAGAAAAATACCATATGAAATCGCTTATATGTGGAATCTAAAAAAAAAAAAAAGAACATAAATATAAAACAGAAACAGACTCATAGGCATAGAATACAAACTTGTGGTTGCCAAGGGGGAGGGTGGTGGGAAGGGACAGACTGGGAGTTTGAAATTTGTAGATACTGACAGGCATATGCAGAATAGATAAACAAGATTATACTGTGTAGCACAGAGAAATACATATAAGATCTTGTGGTAGCTCATAGTGAAAAAAAATGTGACAATGAACATATGTATGTTCATGTATAACTGAAAAATTGTGCTCTACACTGGAAATTGACACAACATTGTAAAATGACTATAACTCAATTTAAAAAAGTTTTAAAAAGACATATTACATAGTGATAAAGATCTCAAATATCCAAGAAGACATAATAATTGTATATGTGTTTGTACCTAACAACAGAGCTTCAACATATACAAGGCCAAAACTAATAGACTTGAGAGGAGACATAGACAAATCCGCTATTAGAGTTGGAGAGTTCAACCCTCCTCTTTCAGCAGATGATGGAACATGAAGGCAGAAAACTGTAAGGATATAAATGACCCAAACAGCACTACCTACCAACTTGACTTAATTGACATTTACAGAACATTCCACCCAACAACAACACCACCTGAGTGCACATGGAACATTGATGGGGAACGTTCACCATATCTGGGGCTTTGGGGCCACCAAATGCTAACATAAAGGCTGCATTCCACATACCAGGTAGTGTGGGTCTGATGTGCACCAGAGAAGAGCAGGCTTGGGTCATATGAAAAAAGCTCCTTGGAAGTTCTGATTCTTTTCCCTACCTCCTCATTTCCATTCCCCCGCCCTTCCACTCTGACTAAGAACTTTGGGGCTGGACTCTGACCAGCGGGGAATGAATGAAGGTGAAGTGTGTGCAACTGGAATGATGTGTTCTCTTAGATTGACCCTGCAAGGAAACAGCCATGTTGTTATATACTTTGTTTATCCCTCCATTCAGCAGACATTAATGGAGCATCTCCTCTGTACCAGTGACACCACGATGCTGGCGGCTGCTGCTGGCACTGCCCAGGCTGATGGGAGGCCTTGCAAACGGAGCCTGCAGCCTCCTGCAAACTGAACCAAAGGAATGTCCTGAGACCCAGTGAGGGGGACAGAGATTGGAGTTACCAGAAATTAAAGACAGAGAATTAAAAACTGGGGATTACTCTCTTTTTCATAAACAATCACCTGCCAGAAGTATCAGATCTTTTGCTCAATATAAGAGGTTGACCTTGTTTGTGGGTCACGACAAAGGTCCGAGAGGGCACCTCTCCCGACCCAGACCCAGAGAGGCAATCCCAAGTCTAAATGCAGACCACACTAGACTTGTGTATTAGTTTGCTTGGGGTGTCATAACAATGCACCCCAGACCAGGTGCTTAAACAATAGAAATTTATTTTCTCTTAACTCTAGAAGACAGAAGTCCAAGCTCAAGGTGTCGGCAGGACTGATTTCTTCTGAGGTCTCCCTCCTTGGCTAGTAGATGGCCGTCTTCCCTCTACATGCATTTGTGCCCTAATTTCTTCTTATTATGACAACTGTCATGTTGGATAAGGGCCTACCCTAGTGACATCATTCAACTTAATCACCTGCTTAAAGGCCCTACTGCCACATACAGTCACATTCCGAAGTACTGAGGGTCAGGACTTCAACACTTGAATTTACGGGGACCCAAGTAAGCCTATAACAGCTTGGAAGCCCAGCACTCAGTGAGCAGTGATGATAAACAGAAGAGAGCTCTGGAGACCTGCCACAGCCAGCGCAGAGGGGTCCAGTGGATGTACGGAGCAGCAGCCTTTAAGAGCAGGAGCTGCTGGGACCTCCAGGGCCCCCCGATGACCCAGGACAGGTCTGGCTCCAGCCAGTGCTGGAAAAGCCAGCTCCCAACTTGTCGCCGTGGAATTCAGTGCCTGGTTCTGCATCCTCTGTAAACGTTTCATGCACTTGAAGTATTTCAGCACCAGCAGTGGACAGTGATCCAAGAGGCGAGGCAATCTTGAGGTGGGGGCTCCTGAGGGCTGCCCTGCACTCAGCACGGTCATGGGCATCCAGACTCTGCCTCCTGCTCTGCCCTCGGTGGGGAGCCCGGGAGCCCACCTGGTGGGAGGGGCCGGTCCTTGCAGATGAGTTTATGGATGAAGTGCGGGGGGTGGTGACACTGAAAACAACCTGTTCAATCCCCTCCTTCCCCTCCTTTGGGAAGAAAGATGGAGAATCTGAGTCTTCAGCTGGGTTTATTTAGTCTGAAGGATGCCCCAGTGACTTGCCTCTAGTTTCCTTTCCCTCAGTAGCAATCTTGCATTTTCCTAAATTTGATAACCAGGGTCCTTATCTCCAGGGGAATCTTCCAGGGGCAACTTGCTCTTTTTTTTGGACAGTGAGCTAAATGTTGACTTTCTGTTTTTCTGAAAATGCGATAGCAACTGTCAAGCTAGGCCCCTGGCAGGGAGGCCTGCACGTGCTCAGGGACGGGCAGGTTGGAGGCCTCTGGCCTCTCCGCAGATCCTTCTGGGTGCTCTTAGGAGAAGTTAATAAAGCAAACTCCTGGAGGACACCCCAAAAACCGGCCTCTGGGCATCACAAACACAGCTCTCCTTTCTTTCCACGCTGAAGAGGATGACTTCCCTACAGAGAAGGAGGAAGCTAGATGACGTGTCTAAAGTGAGTCGCCTGCCGCCTGAACACCTGTGCTGTTGCCCCAAACACACGTATTCAGCTTCCATCATTTCTGCCATTTGGTCCTGAACAGCCTATTTCCTGGAGATTATTTTTATCGACCAAGGAGTACATTACGATTTCTCTCCACATGGGAGTTAAACAGAACTGCCTGGGAGATTCAGGGGCTGGGTGGGGAGAGCAGGCCTGGACCCCTCCCCTGTCACGGACGCCTCCAGCGAGGACTGGAAAGACCCCGCCTTCTGACAGGCTGGTTCCGCCTGGTCTCCTTCTCCCCGGAATAGGAAGCTTCCCAGGCACCCTGGACAACGGCATTCTGCATAAGAGCCCATTTGGGTGATTTTCTGGATGATTACTTCTTGGTAATGATGAGTATGAAGAGCGATGTAATGTGACCATATTACAGAACCAATGTAAAAGGCCCCACCTCAGGCCACTGCGGGCTGCAGACCCAGAGCCGCTGCAGGCCGGGAGGTCACCCAGTCCGAAGTCCTGTCCAGGCGGAGACGTGTGCATCACCCCGGAGGGACGGCCTTTCTCCCTCCACTTGCTCACCCCTAACTGGGCACCCCGTCCCGTGCTGGACAACTGTGACAGTTAAAACAGTTCTTCATTTGTCTTTCCCATGAACTTTCATTTCTGGTCCCGGTTTGTTTCCTGCGGAGTTAGAATAAGTCAATTCCCTCTCCTTTCTTCAAATGTCTGGACAGGCATGAATAAAGTGGAGAGAATGTTGTTCACCAAAATTCCCCTCGGCAAGATGATGCCCTTTGTTTCGGAGAAATCCTGGTAAGCTGCTTGGGGTGGTGTGTGAGTGGGGGGACCAAGTTAGGTCTGAGGAGCTCGAGGTAACCAGGAGCAATTCGTCCTGCAGGTGGGGGCGGGCTGTGGGGTGAGGAAGCTAGAGAGGGCTTTGACCTCTGGAACGAGTCCCCTCCACGAGACCCCACCCCCAAATATTCATTAGGCTTGACCAAGATGAAGAATGCTAGGTGTGCATGGATTTCTTCTGCAGACTGCTAAGGGGCCGAGTTCTGGGGGAAGACAGCACCCCCCCTAAAATACACAAGCCCCAGGTGAATAGGGCCGTGGGAACAGACCAGGGCAGGTGGGGTTGGAGGTGGGGAACAGACCAGGACGTTGCCATCACGGTGGGGCCGCCCTTGGCAGCTGGATGAGAACCTGGGACTCTCGGTTCCAGGAGCGGGAGCAGCGCATCAGTGCAGGCGTCCCAGCCTTCTCTCCTGCGAGTTTCTGCCCAGTCACACATGAACACACAAAAGGTGTGTGTTCACTTGTACGTCCCTTCTGAGAAACAACAAACCCTCTGTTGGCCACAAACCTCTCCCCTTGTCCCACACGTGCCAGCCACACTGTTCTGGGACGTGCCAAGAGCCAGGGCCTGGAGCTCGGTAGAGCAGGTCCATCTCCCTAGAGGCTTCCCCTCAGGATCTCTGCATGGCTGGTCCATGTTTACAATTAGGTCATTTCTTCAGCAAACCCTCTCCAACCACCCAGTCTCAGGGAGACCTTCCGCCACAACTAAGTCCCTGTGTATTAGGCTCCTCGTTGCACTTAATGCTCTTTTCCCATGCTCTTCTCACATCTCATGTTCATTTATTTAGCGTGCACCCCCTTCAACAGAATGCAGGTCACTCACCTGCCCACTGAGGTGCCCGCAGGCCGCGGGACAGGGCCCACGCACGGGTGCTGACTGCATGAAGTGAGGGAACGAATGGAAACACCTCACAGTCCGTGCAGGTGCTCATGATGAGAAAGTACAGAAGAACCCTCCCGCTTTCTCCAGGACTTTTAGGGAAATGAAGGGTGGAGCGAAGCATCAGAGGGCATGCTTGTCCCCAGGACATATGTCTTAGTCCGTCTGGGCTGCTGTAACAGCGAATGGGTGGCTTAAAAACAACAAACGTGTTTCTCACAGTTCTGGAGTCAGGCAAGTTCAGGATTCAGGGACCGGCAAGCCAGCGTCTGGTGAAGGCCCCTCTCCTCGTTCACAGACGGCCACCCCCTCCCTGCGTCCTCCTCACGTGGCAGAACGGGCGCCAGAGCTCTCTGGGGTCTCTTTCATGAGGGCGCTAATCCCATTCATGAGCGCCCCATCCTCATGCCCTAACCACCTTCCTAAGCCCTCGCCTCCTAATACCATCTCATTGGGTGTTAGGATTTTACAGATGAAATTTGGGGGAGACACAAAAATTCAGTCTCGAGCCGCACAGGAGTCTTCAAGGTCAAGTTTAGTGCTCCCCTGTCTGTGTTAATGCCTTTAAGGATGCAGATTCACCTCCACACTAATGCTTTTTTAAAAAATGGGGATTCACTCGAGGGTAGGGTTTAAAAGCCAGGGGCCCAGGGTCACTTACCAGGTGCTCTGCTGTGAGATCTTTGACAGGTGACACTCATCTCCATTTAGTGCCTCCGTTTCTTCATCCACAAGGTGGAGATTGGCACTTATCTCCAAAGGACTGTGGAGAGGATTACAAACAACAGCTATGAAGCATGCAGAGCAGTGCCTGGCACAGAGGAAGGACTCAGTCGTGGCGTACTGTCTTTCTTCTTATGATAGCCAAGGCTGATGATTCCTTGCCGACTTTCCCATCACCACTGCTGCTCTAGACTTCCCACAGCATCCCCACATTCTGGCCTGGCTCAGCCCCTTTAGTTATGGAAGAGGGTGGAGGTGGGGCAGCAGCTGCAGGACCACCCCCCAGTGAATTCTCCCCGTCTCCTAAAATTCGAAACCCTCCCAACTTACCAGGTGCCAGAGAGAACTGAGCCAAGTCCTGAAACACACAGAGAATATCAACCTCTATTTGAACAAAACCGAACCAAATACTTTTCACCCTTACAGTCAAATCCACTGCCTCAGCATTGTTCATCTGAAATGTTCTTCTCACAGGAGAAATGACAGTATTGGGTAACAGTAGCCAACGTAGCCTTTTTTCTAGGTAAAACTATTCACATCGAAGGTTTTGGAGCAAGGCTAGAGGGAGGGAGTCCTTGCTCAGAGCACGTTCACCGTGGACCTCAGCACTGATGGTCTCTAGGACAATGCAATTCTAGATCCATCTGGTTGGGGAACAAACAATTCTCCCAGGTCTTTTTCAATACAGGTAGACCTGACCACGTTGTGTAGTTCTAACAGCTAGAAAAATAATTATTCACAAAGATGGAAAACACAATGAAGGTAGCAGAACTTAGGGTATATAAAATCAAATTATGATATATATGCATGAGGTTTTACTGATTCTGGTGGCTAAATGTGCCCAGCTATTCCCATGGAGATTAGCTTGTTCAAATGAACAAATTGGAAACTTCTTTTTTTAAATAGAAGTATTCTATAATTGAGACGTAATTCTGAGATCCCACATATACACTCTTCCTCTGGTGGCTTCTCCACATTCCGCATCCATGGGTCATGCTGGTTAAGGAATTGATAACCTAGTTTTCAACAGAAATGTACAAGTTAGATTAATAAGATGCTAAAGAATTGCAACTTTTAAGGACATTTTATATTTTTAATATGTTGTACCACACAGCTGTAAAGAGAAAAACAAAACAACCTATAGCATCTTCTGATTTCCACAAATGAACACCAAAATTTTACTGGAAAAAAAAATCTTATAAAACCCAAACTCCAAAATCAACCCAACTGAGCATTTTAAATGAAATTCCACAGATTGCATTGAACTCAGTTGCGGGAGGACACTGTCTCAATGTGAGTAGAAATCACACTTACACGTATCACAGAAGCACATTTGAAAAGTTTTATTGAACAGGCAATGCATTGTGCAGTGGTTAAGGACACAGATGCCATGTGGAAAAGTTTAAAAATTATTTTTGGAACCAGCCTATGAATTGATGAACCCAACGGGGTTCCTTCCACTACCTCTTAGAGTGGCTACCTTCAGGAAAACTGACTGCGTTATAGCTGCTCTTGGAAAGGGCATCCCTGTTTAACCATGAATGTCATGCCTCACAGTAAACATGAAAGAAGACAAGGTCTACAGGCAGGACCACGCCCAGAGACACACAGTGACCTCAGTTGGAAGGGCAGACACATGTTCTCTGGGAGCCCTTCTATCTCTGCATCCCAACTCTGCATCCCAGCCCTGCATCCCAGCCCTGCATCCCAGCCCAACTCTGCATTGATGTTTCACTCACGTTTTCTTCCCTGCCTGAGCCCTCTGCATCAAGAGGATCCTGAAAGACTCACATTCATACCTGTGGGCACAGAACCTTGCTCCTGGCCCTTCTCAATGGTGTCCTTGTCTTCGGGCCCCTCTGGCCCGGGCCTGCGGCCATGTGTCTGTCCCACTTGTTTGCCTGGTTTCTTCCTCTTCCCTGAGCTCGCTCTCCTGTAACCTGATGATAAAATCATTCTTAAGTTTCACAGTTTGTTTGCCTTGATTGGGTGGCAGTTTTTAATGAAGTGACCCGTCAAGGTGGTGGACACTTTTTAGCAGCACACTGTCAACCTATTTTATAATTTGGGGCATGTCGCTCCAAGCTTGAGATTTCTTTCTGGCAAGTTCCATCCAGGACGGCTGGTCCATGCTGGCATAACTGGCTCTCTTCAGCTGATGCAATTCTTTCTCCGTCTTCTCTCCAGCAGACTGGGCTGCTGGAGAGAGGACAAAACAAATGGAAAAATGAGAAATGAGTTTGGATTTTCACATAAGCCTCTTGTATGTCTTTAAAATATATGTCAAGGTCTTAACCGTGTAACAAACATAAAATCCGTGTAAAGAAAATCCCAGCGTAGAACAGTTTATGTGACAGAAAGACTTAAGAGCAGGTTCAAAGAGTTCTGGCAATGTGGTGAGGGAGGAGAAACTCTCCGAATAAAACTGCAGGAACTCTGAGGACTGGCCACGATGGCGTGAACAGTCTTAACACTGCTGAAATGTGCACTTATTAAGATGGTGAACTTTGTGACGTGTATTTTACCACAATTACAAATAAATTTAAAAATACCGATACATGCCCCAACAAAGATGAATCTAGAAACATTATGCCCAGTGAAAGAAGCCAGATACAAAAGAACATATATTTGATGATTCCATTTATAAGAAATGTCCCCCAAAAAGGCAAATATACAGAGACATAAAATAGATGTGTGGTTGCCTAGAGCTGGGGCTGGCAATTCTGAATGACTGTAAATGGACATGAAGCAGCTTTGGAGCATGAGGGAGATGCTCTGAAACCAGACTGTGAGGGTTTACAACTTGGTAAATATGTACTCGCTGTCAATATACACTCCCTGAATTGTACCCTTAAAGTGGGTGAGGTTTTTTTTTTCTTTGCCAGGTTAAGCGATTATCTCAATAAAAAGCTCAAAAAAAATCAACGTGGCAAGTAATTCAGAAAAACAAACAGAACAAAACCCAGCAGGACCAAAGCCGGAAAGGCATTTCAAAGTGCGCGGCGCTGTTCTCAGGTTTCGTACCCAAGTTCTGGTGGGACAAGGAGATGCCTCTCTGCAGCCCCTCCGGGAGGCGGAGCTTTGCCCCCGGCCTCTGGTCCGCAGCGGGCTTGGCCGGCGCCATCAGGAAGGACTTGCTGCGGACGAAGTCGGCCTGCTTCACGGGCTCCTGCTGGGACACAAGAAAGACACACGCTGTCCCATCACCTGAGACTCAAATGGGGACACACATAACCAAAGGCAATGAGCCACCAGGCTTCTCTGCCAGCATGAACCATGCTGCTGGCACTTCCGTGGGAGAGCTGTGGTTGGGGCACTCACTGGCATTGAGCCCCAAGAATGCTGGGGTTCAGACACGTGTGGGGCCTTCTCCTGGGCACACACAGGCGTCCTGGCTTCCGCCCTGTCCCCGCCTAGCCCCAGCCCCAGATGTCGGACGACAGGGTTCAGTTTGAAAGTCAACATGAACTGTGTTTGGAAATAGTTTTGAGACTTTTATGACATGTAGGGTGATAGTGGAGGCCCAGAACTGGGATCACTGCTTAGTATTTGTGTTATAAATTCCCCGAGCCCGCAGCGGGGTTTTCAAGCTTGGGGGCGACTGCAGGTTGGGTTAACACGCAGGGAAGCAGGCCTGCTGCAGGCTCAGGCCCACGTCCCTACACAGTGGGGACACACTTCGGGATTTTCCCTGGCCACTGCAGGACCACAACAGCCCTGAGTCTCAGCCTGCTTCTAAGCACAGTCGTTTGCGTTTGAGAAAGGTGTTTTCAGCCCAGAGTGCAAATGGAGCCCAGGGTTCCAGCCCTGCAGCCCTAGGTGAGGAGGGAGGACCCCAGCAGGCGGCCAGTGCAGCAGCAAAGGCAGGGTTGGGTCAGGGCTCGGAAATGAGTGCAGATGGAGCTGTTGACATGGTTGCCTGGCGTCCAGCTGGGCAGTTATTTTAACCCCGTCCATCTCTCCATCTGCTGAGCTGCGTTGCCTAGGAGGCCGGGAGCAAAGGGCTGTCCCCGCTGCTCCCAGACTACACGACCCACGGCCTCTCTGCCTCCCTGCCAGCCCAGCACATGCGCAGGGCAGACCCCAGCAGTCATCACAGGTAACGGTCCCTGTCATGACTGTGCAGGACGTGGGGCCATCGCGGGGTCCCGGCCCCTGCTGACAGCTCTCTCCTGCGTCTACAGAGACAGAGAGCGTTTGCTCACAGCACCTGGGCTCTTTCGGGCGCCTTGGCTGCCCTTCCTGTTTCAGACTTCAGGGTCCGGGCCCCAGGCTTGTCCTCCTGGCTGGGTGGCTTCTCCGGGGCCCCTCGCCGCTTCTGCCGCCCGACGGTGACCCAGGGTGGCACAGGCTGGCCATCAGCTCCAGGCTCCGCTGCCTTCTCTGTGGGTAAAGACACAGGTTGTGCAAAGCGATCCTCGTCACCTTCAGTCCCCTTGTGGCTTCTCCCACACAGAGCACCGCACAGGGGCCGGGGGACAGGGGCGGGGAAGGAGGTCTGGAGGACCCCCCGGGGACACTAGTACTTTCCTTTAAGGGACTCTGTTTTCTTAGTGAAAAGTGAATCAAAGAGATTATACTCCTCTAGTCTGAACCCCCCAGAATTAAAAGCAACTGCTTCTCCACACACATTTTAAAGCCAACGTCTTCCTATGGGATACGTTGTGGAATGAGACAGAAGTCCGCACATAAATGGGTAAGATGCCTAGACAGAGGCCATCACTTTGGACCAGCACATACGACCCAGTATCCGATTCTTGGAATATTCTTCTTCTCTCTTCTTTAAGAAATTGGACACAAACCCTTCCCTGCATGGAGAGTGACACCGAAAATTATACTGGCTGTTTCCCTCAATATTCCGGAGAGAAGAGAAAAAATGCCTTTGAAACCAGAACGTTTGGCCTTCCATGTTCCTTACACGTTCACAGGGCTTATTTTGGGGGGGTTAAACCTATGGGTCGTTCCTCCTTCCCTTGCTTTCCAACTCTTCTGTACTTTCATATTTTCTGTGACGAGAATGTATTACCTCCATCAGCAGAAAAAAGAAGACAGTTCATTTTTTCCAAGGAAACCAAACGATTCCATCAGCGGCTTTTCACGGGTCTCTCCAAAGAACAGCAAACCCAAAGGCTCCCCACAAGCCGGCCTCTCTGAATGTATGTCCCTCATTCAAACTGGGAAAGTTTGTCCCCAGTCCCTGGCCCAGCTCCCTCCTGCTTCCTGCCACACCCACACCCACGTCACAGCCATGTGGGGATGTCCAGGGCAAGTCAGTGTCCTCATCCTTTGGGACCTGACACCCCTGCTCTGCTGTCTTTGGGATTTGACTCTTTGGTTTGGCTTCTGCCTCTAGTTCAGCTTGGAGACCTTTTCTCCCAGTCCCCTGGTCAGCAAGGAGGGGTGAGGGACAGAGCCACTGCCCTGGGAACTTCGCTCTCCCTCGGCGTGGAGAAGAGCCTCGGGCTCCACCCGCACCCTGGCCTGCGCAGCTGGGACTGGCTCCCGCCATTCTCTAGGACGCTCCCTGGGGCCTCCGCCCCACGGACTCCAGCAAACACGGCTCCGTCTCCTTGCCTCACCCCTTGCCCCTCCTGCCTCTCAGGCTCTCCCTGGCCACTGACCGCTTCCCTGCTGCTTTGTGAAACACTTGGGTGTCTCCAAGAAGCTCAAAGAAAACTGACTCCAGGAGCCTGGCCGCCCTCACCCTGGGAACCCCAGTTCCCCGCTCTCCTTTGCCATCAGCCCCAGCATCCTCTGCCCGTGTCTCTTCAGCTCATTCCAGACCCAGCCACGGCGCGAGCGCTGGGCTCTCCAGCCGCCCAGCTGCTGGACCACAAATCCGAGGTCTCGCCCCGTCCTCGGCCTGCTCTCCCCCTGCAGCCTGGATTTGGCCACAGAACCTCTCCTGGAGGCCTGGCCTCCTTGGGTGTCCCCTCTCCAGGTCCCTGCCGACTCTTGCTCCTAAACCTGGGATTCCTCCTTGTTCCCAACCCTCAGCCTTCTGTCTTCTCCCCCACACGTGCTCTGGTCCACCCCGACTTCAACACTCACATCTGCCCGGATTACTTGCAATGTGTGATCCAGCCCGACTTTCCAGTCTTAGCCAGAGCCCAGCATTTCTGCTCCCCGGCTCCTGCCTCCTCCTCTCCTTCACCCCTTTCATTCATTTATTCATTCATTCATTCACTCACTCACTCATCGTTTGCTATGGGCAGGGATTGTGTTAAATGCTAAGGTGGAAAAATAAAAACAAACTGTTCCTTCCAAGAGCTCGAAGTCCAATACGGGAGACTAAGCACAAATAAGTCACTTGGAACAGGAAAGGGCTACAATCCACAATGTGCCGTGTAGACATGGTGACACGGGTGAGTGGGATATGAGGATGCCGTCTGGGGTGGGAACCTGGAGAAGGAAACTTCCAGGCTGAGGAAAGGGGCAAGGAAAGGCCTCCCATGTGGAGGGGGCAGAAGGCAGAGCCCAGAGGGGCTGAAGTGCAGGTGGGGCTGACTGAGAGGGACTTCCTGTCCGTAATGGGGAGCCACAGGGGTTTAAACCCTGGGCACACTCTGGAGGCTGCATGGGGAGTAAGTGTGAGCAGGGGGACTAGGAAGCTGGAGGTGAGGAGGAAGGCTGTGACCACAGTCCAGGAGAGGTGACACCGTGTCCTGGGATCATCCCTTAGTGTCCACCAAGTCCCATCTGGATGCCTCCTCCATGAAGCCTGCCCTGGTCACCTAGCTGGACGGGCTCTCCCCTCCTCACTCTCCTGTAACTCTCTTGACACGTCTCTCCCTACAGTTTGGTACCACGTGCCTCTGCCAGCTGACCGCCCACCCCACTGATACGTGCTTTGGGTCACTGGAACTTCTTATTTACTTAACAAAGACATGGCGGAGACCACATACCAGGTGCTGTTCTAATATTAGCTTATCGACAATGTACATTTACATTTTGTTTCTTGTCCAGAGAACCCAGCGGTTGCCCGGCACACAGAGGCAGGCTGGGTGGTTGTGGATTTCATAGAAAGCCTGCATTTCTTCTCCCCCATCTCAGTGCCTCGTTCCACAGAGTCCTCCTAACCTCTGTCTTCCTGGGCTTTTCTTACAGGGGTCCTCTCACTTTCTCTCTGATCTTTTCTTCACACTCAGTGGCTGGTCGTGCCCCCTGCTCTCTGCTGGGCCGAGACGTCTGGCCACGCTGTCCTCCCGGCCATGTCGAGTACGTTCCAGGCAGATTAGAGAGAGGGCTGTGACCAGCCGCTGAAGCTCACTACCTCAGCCAGCCATGTTCTGAGGAGCTCTGTCAATTCTCCATGTTGTGCATGGACAGAAAATTTCCATCCTGGGTTTCAAACTCAAGGCAGAGGCCGCCCTAGCATCTCAGTGTCCTGGCTGGCTCCCCGGCCCTGTGGGGCTGTGTTGGGCCCATGGCGCTGGTGTCACTCTGACTGTGGAGGCACAGACACAGCTCTGGTGAACCCCTACCCTCCGCAATCGGATGACCCACATGAGCCCAAAGGAGGATTTTACAACTCACTGGAGAAGAGGGTATGGACCAGGGCACAGATAACATCCCTAGGGACCTGGGGCAGAGGAGGCTGGGGCCCCCCAGGGTGGAACTCTAATGGGGGTCTACACCCCATGTGACAGCCAGGACACAGCTGTGACTTGTCAACAACACCATCTCCTGGGTGAGGGGCAATGAGCCACACAACGTGAACCATCATGGTTTCTTGATCTCTGGCTGTAAAAATACAGCAGATGCCCTGCCCCGAGCTCACACATGGCAGGACAGCGGGCTTCTCATGCCTCATAAACACTTGGTAGATGCTGCCAGGTTTGAAGCAGCTATTTTAAAGAATCTTTTTCCTTTCATAAGATAACTTTCTTGTTCATAAAAGGACATGCACAAACAAACAAACAAAGCAGTATGCACGCACGTTGTACACATTCCGAAAGCAGATAAAAGCACAAAGAAGGAGAAAAAAGTTTTCCCTAAATTAACAAGCCAAGAGAGCCGTGTTAATGCTTGGCACACGGCTTCCAATCTCCTTCCGTTACACTGTTGTCTTTAAAACACACATCAACAGCTCATTCCCAGCTCTTCAAAATACTCTCTGTGGACGGAGGGGCCCGAGTTTGCTCCCTAAGACTTCTGATCTGAAGTGGACGCACCACCAACCTTTGTCACCACAGACCCTCGGAGCTTCAGCAATGGAGAGACCACCCCTTGTTTCTGTCTCCCCTCCAGCCCCTCTGCCAGCACCCTGGTTTACACGGGGAGGAGGGGACAATGTGCACAGAGAGACACCAAGGGGACCGCTGGGGTGGGGAGGGGCCCTGGGGTCACATGGGCCTCACCCACACCGTGGGCTCCCTGTAGGAAAGGTGAAGGTTTTTTAAAAGTATTTATTGATTGAGCACAGACAGCTCCTGATCAATTCATGGCCTTGCTCTGCGTCGGCTCTGGCTGTGAGCTTGGCTGTGTGATCCTAGCAGAGAACTTGGAAATTTAACGCTCCTGTGAGCATTTACCTCGAAGCCACACTGAGGGTTTTGAGAATGAGCAAGGGCTTCTCGCAGACCAAGCTCCAACATTTAATGATGGGTGATGCAGCCGGGTCCTAACTCTACCAGGTAGATACGATACCCAAGGTAACGTATCACCATTCCTCCATTTGCTCATTTGACAGATATAGCCCCCCCTCGCTGACCGGGAATTCCCTATTTGAGAATTCGCCCACTCACTAAAATGTATCTGTAACCCCCAAATCAATACTCCTGACCCTTTGTGGTCACCTGCAGACGTGCCCAGAGCAGTGGAAAATTTGAGTCCCAGGACAAGCACGTTCCCAGCTGATATGGGTGGGGGATGCTATTTCTTTCCTGTTTCTGCTCTCAGACTGCACACAAGGGTCCTTTTTGCGGTATGCTTAGTGCCACATTTTTGCATTTCTGTGTTTTTTTCTCGGGGATTTGTCTGTCGAAAATAGCCCCCACGTCTAGTGCTGAAGTGCTGTCTGGTGCCCATGAGCACAAGGCAGTGATGTGCCTTATGAAGGAGATACATGTGTCAGATGGGGCGTGTGTGATGCTATGGCTTGCTGGAAGGTGCACGGGAAGGGCCCAACACTACATATTAAATAAGGTGTCTTTAAACAGAAACACACACAACACAAAGTTATGTATCAAGCAGTTGAGGATAATGTGATCAGGGATTGGCAGGAAGCTGACCCCACATTCCCCCTAGAGCGATGGTGCGAGACTCACTGATTCAGTGCTCATGGCAACTTTGCAGAGAGTAACTACTGCAAAAAACCAGAATCATCTGTCTTTGTGAGTGCCCACCTAGCCCCAGGCCCCGGGGAGATGCTGTCTACACCG